CTTGATTCTCAGGTTTGTTTAATTCAACTGCAGGTCAGAAGGGAAAGCCTAACCTGAATACATGAGCAACTAAAACCATTTAACTCTTCTCCTGGGACACATGCATCAGCAAAACAGAGCATTATCAATTGAACGTGTTATTTAGGGCAACTAATAAGGGATTGACCTTAAAACATCTGGATTATCTACAAAAAGTCATCTAATCCGGTAACCTAGGAGATCCGCTTTAATGTTTTTTACAGGAATTACATTTAATGGAGTACTACAGAAGAAAATATTTGCATTGTTTTCTATTTTTTTTTTTTTTTACATTTTCCTTATAAAAAAATCTGACAATTTGTGTTTTGCATTCAAATACTTATTAGACCTTGTGTTAATACTTGGTAGATCCCCTTTTATGGTGCGTTCACATCGAAGGCGGTGGCAATGAGGAGTGCTGTGGATTCCTATGCTCTTGCTATCCTCATGCTAGTAGATAGAGCTGAGATGTTGTCAAACAGCAGCACCGCACGGAGAGAGGGGAGCAGTGATCACTAGAGTTGAAATGAGCTGAACTTTTCTTTGAAATCGTGTTTTTATCAGCGATTTAGGGAAGTGCTTAGAGCAGAACATTTTTTTTTACACTGTTATCAAATACAACCTGCTCATATCAAAAAAAATTTTATCATTTAACTTTTTATTGGTGCTTTTTAATTTTTTTTACATATACAGTGCAGATGAACATTTCACATTCAACTTAATATAACAAAAAACTTTCACTTGGGAGCTATTCCTGTATTTTACCTTTGTCCCTACCTTTCTAGCTTATCTTGTTCTTTATCTTTGTCGCTGTCTTTTGTCCTGATGTTGTTCATTTCCTCCACGTTTCTTCCATTTGAGTTTGTTGAACTCTTAGACGATGTGTCAGTTTTTCCATGACGTAGATTTCTTCTATTATTCCAGACCATTGTTCTTGACAAGGGGGGTCTGCCTGTCCCCATTCCCTCGTAATTGCTTTTTTGGTAGCTAATGATAATATCTTAATCAGATACATGTCTTTTACCATTGCTTTGATATTCTTCAAATTGCAAAGATATGGTTCCACATTACTCATAGGAATATCATATTCCAGAATCTTCTTCACAGTTTCATTTACATTTTTCCAAAATTGACAGTTCCAAAATATGTGAGAGTGGTCGGCATTCATTGATCCACAATTCCGCCAGGGTACAAACAACACCCCGTGTTTGTACCCTTATATTTATTTCTGACTTTAGGCGTGATGAAATACTCATATCAAATTTAATGTGCAACTGAGTGGGATGATTTAAAAACTGGAACAAAATATGCAGGTAATATATCTGCATAAAAAATTTAATCCAAAAAACTATTCCCTAAAAAAAACTGTAATTTGGTAGTAGGGATGTAAACATGGAATGAGTCTGTTTGTAGCAGCTCCAGTTATACAGCTGCTGGGAGAAGGGATTAGCGATTACACTCCTTGAGGCACCTGGGTGGCTGCAGTTTTTCCCTCAAGTGCCTATCAAGCTCTCAATGGTTTTATATGACTTTAGAACAAACTTTTTACTTCTGACTTGTTAAAACTGAAATTGTTAAATTATTCGCAATATGTCCACCTCATAGTTCTGAGTTTTGTTCCCTTCTTTCTAATTTCTTTCCTTTCATATCAGGAATGAAAACTGCAATGCTAACTACACCACAGACTTCATCTTTAACCTGTACTCTGAAGAAGGCAAAGGAATCTTTGACTGTCGCAAGAATATCCTTGGACACATGCAGCAGGTCAAGGGGAATTAAAATGCAGTCTTATTGTAAGCCATGTTTTCCTCTTTCAGTCATAATTAATTAGTCCGTCCTATTTCAACTGCAGGGCGGCACTCCGACACCCTTTGACAGAAACTTTGCCACAAAGATGGGAGCTAAATCTATTATCTGGCTGACTTCGAAGCTTAAGGAGTGCTACAGGCATGGTAGGTTCACTTTTTGATGTCAACACAGATTTGCTAGTAGTTGATTAACCATTTTGTTGTTTTTGTTTAGTTTTTCACATAAGAATACACAATGTGGGTAAATGGTTGGAGCCAGTTGTTTTTATTTTAATTGAAAAGCTTAAAGGCAAATATGAACAAACCCACTTTTTAAGTGTTTTACACTGCAGAAATATATAAGAGCATGAACATGTAAAAAAACAATTGACAAATATCTGTAGGTAACCTGTTATCTACTACAATTTCTCATTTATATTTAAGGAAGCTCAGGATTTTTTCACTATTAAGCAGAAGGTCACACTCATCGCAAGCATAATTTTAAAGTGGAAGAGGAAATGAAGATGATGCAGTGGGATGGTAACAGAATAGAGTTCAGTTACAAAAATGTTTACTCTGAAAAAGATAAACTTATTAATGTTAGAGGAAATCTCAGAGTTTTGCAAAAATGTTGATGTTTCTATATGATTCTGTTAACCTGGCAGTAGCCAGATTGATATGTATAGAACTGATGTTATCAATCTGGGGTGGCTGCCGTTCAGTCTGTCCATGAAAAGGAGGGACGTTTAGTACAATAATTTGAGCTGATTGGGTGACGTGCCAGCTACTACCCGCCTTCCATAATACGCTTTCGGCCAATCGTAGCAGCGAATCGTGCAGCTTCTTGAGTGTTTTCACAACTAGCGGAGTTAGCAGGTAAATCAAACTTTTTCCAAATCCTGTATCGAAAAAAAGGACAAATATCTTTCCCATCTACAAATGCACAAAGTGCTTATATTTGCTTATTTTTTAAACGAGAAATTGTCGCTATTTTAGCTAAAACCAACTCAATTACGTTATCGACAGGTCTATCCTCCAGCGTAGCCATGTCTGTAATGCCCCAGCAAAGCCCTTCTGACTGTCATCATTCCTACATGTACATCCAACATGTCATTGGTCCAACGCGCTGGTTGTTATGAGACCGACAAATTAGCGGTAGTTTTTCAAAATGGATTTGTTGTGAGACTGAAAACTTAGATCTGGCGACGATTCAGCTTGCAGCACAAAGGTTATGATACTGTAAATTTACTGTAAATATTTTTTTCCAGTTATAAACAATATAACAGTGAATTT